GTGTGAGTGTGTGATGATGATGTCGGTGATGCTGATGACGGTGATGATGGTGATGATGGGAGTGACGATGATGAGGTGGTCATGGTGAGGATGATGATGATGTGGTGGTGAGGATGCTGAGGATGATGATGACGATGGTGATGATGGGGATGATGCTGATAATGCTTATGAGGGTGAATGGAGAGACATTTTATATTATTATCAGAAACGCCCTGGGCGTCTTTACTGTGGATTCTTGGCAAGCTACAGACTCTACAACAACGCCACGCCACGTTGCTTTTATTGTGTTCGTATTGTGTGTTTTAACATTTCCCGGCCCGTCGCTGTGGATATTCGTTTGTTTGGCGTTTGTTTTTTCTTGCTTCCTTGTCTTCACTGCCGCCTTCGCTCCCGCTCTCCTGTTCCTGCCGCATCCCGTCCCTCCCGTCCCGCCCGCAGAGCGCAGAGCTAAGAACGCCCCAGGAACACCCTAACGCCGGTCCGACACCGGCGCGGAACAGGCCTGGAGGCCTCGCGACCAGCCACCAGCGACGACCAGAGAAGATCGAGGGTCCAGGGTCAAGCCCGCGCGCCCGGACGCGAGCCCATGAAAGGCGCAAGCGGTGGCAGTCTACTGCGTGCTATACACACTTGCGCCCCGATCCTACAAAACAGGTATCCATTCACATGGAGCGTTCACTAATAATGACGACAGCAATCATGAAATTCTGCGGCGCGCTGTTGGAAAACATCTAGAGACCAAGAACGCCACTGAGAACCAATCAGACGGACAAAAGCTTCCAAATCATACGTCAATGTAAGACTCAGCCAGCCTGCTTTCTGACGATCGCGTGGCGACCAATTCAGAACTATCGTGATGCACGTTGTATCCGGCAAATGTTGAACGTACTCAATACAGGACCAATGTTGGTGAACGCATTGTTATGCCCACGTACGAGCGCCAGCGTTCGCGACGAAGCTTCGTGCACGCTCGTTCCAAAGATGTCGTATATCAAACCATGGTGCCTCCCAGTCAATTGGTGGAGGTGGTCCGACAATCTGTCGTACGAGGCTTCGAAGTTCCACATTGATTTCCTTGAAGTCTTCCACGTGCATCGGGCGATGCTCTGTCGCAAAACACGCGACTGTCGTTACCACGGAACCGAACAGTTTCACTCTCTGCGCGATTGAAGCCCGCTTGTCGCAGAGGGTACGGCGATTCGCATCGAATGCCTTGGCTGCATTTTGCATGTGGATGTTCAGATCCAGCGTGCTGGATTCTGCCCCCCCCCCCTGTGGACAGCACGCAACCCAACCATTTCTGAGCAGACTCATCTGATGATCACGTCATTGGTCAAACCCTATGGCGTGTGGATCGCAGCTGGGGGTTGTGCCATAGTGGTCAATGCCTGGGTGTTTTTTGCGTTCAGAACAAGGCCGACCGTCAGCAGCTCCGACACGAGCTCCCCGAGCAGGAGGCGCACCTCTTCTTCTGGATAAGCAGATGGGACCAAGTCGTCCGCGAAACGCAAGTTTGTCGCATTCTCTCCACCGTTTCCGAGATGTATACCCAGATGTTGGATTTTTTGTTTGCAGGACGACATGGCCCATTCCATGGCACGCGTAAAAGGAGGTTAGCACGCAGCACGCTCTCTTCGCGGACGCTAGCGAAAATAGGAAATTCATTGCTGTATGTGCTCTCCTAATCGGCATAGAGTAGGCGAATGATCCACGCCATGTGTTCGGACCCCCCGTGCGCGCGGAGTGCTCGCCATAATGGATCCTATGCCACGTTGTCGAATGCTCTTGACACGTTCAAAATGATGATCCCACTCGGTACCCCCACGGCACGTGTGTTTTGGATGACCAGAGAAGATCAACACGATTATAGGACAAACACCGGGAGGACTGGACGCAATGATATTGAATTGAGGACGTGATAGACGGCAGTGTGAAACAGCGCAGTCAACAGATCTGACAATGCTAAAAAAACTCAACACGCAAAACATGTGAATCTTTTTCCAGCGTTTATGAGAGGTTTCTTGGGACCGGGAAACGCTGAAAGCAGATGTCCAACACGATGAGCGTCAAAGCATTGTTGTGTATACACACGCACATATCATCACGCCCACGGCATGTGCAATAATAACCATGGAGCAGCGGGAGAAGGAGTGTTCGAGGTGATGATGGTGGGGGGGGTCAGAGGAAACAGGAGCCCCATGTGGGGCGTGGGCAGAGAGGGGACCGCAGAGAGTCCCTGAAAGGGTGGGCGGGGGGCCCGAGACCGCCGGCCCGAGCTCGCCCGGCCCGAGCTAGAGTGCACCACAGCTCATTGAGGAACCGTGCTCCCGCCGGCTACATGCCTGGTCCGGATGGCCACCATCCCTGGTGAAGCAGTTCAGCCGTTGATTCTCCGAGCCGTGGGATGAAGTCGGGCCTGTTCCTCCACAGGAGGAATATTCAAACATAGTTTCAAACAACCATAGTCTGGGGAGGATGTTTTGACCGGTCTTAACTATGTTTGCATATTTTTGGGTGTACTTTTTATTTTTCATCCAGAGCCCGCCCAACCCTGGGACCTGGGACCGTCTTCAGGCGCCAGGTCCATCAAGCTCGAACCTGGGACGAAACATTACCACCGGGGAGGCGGTCGGGACTGTGAGGGCCGCGGATCGAAAACATCAGGTCGGTGGACGTCAGGGATCCTGCGCGCGGTCTCAACTCGCGTGGGTCTGAAGCTCGACCTCGTTCCCTCGACTCCAGGGGGCCTCTCGGGTGCCTTTGGGCCGTCGCAAGGCTTCCCTGGCCCCTCTGACGCATCCTGGGGCCGTCCAGGGGTCTTGTTGGGGCGCTTCCTGGCCATCATCTTGGAGGCCTCTTGGGCCGTCTTGGGGGCCTCTGGAGCCGTATTGGGCTGTCGGATGCCCGACAAGGGGGGAACGCGAAGGACATTGAACAATTTCTGGGAAGTCAATGGTTTGGGCTTCTTCGGGCTTCCTGGAGGGCTTTTGAAGCCTGGGCTGTATGGGAGGCCTCTTCTGAAGTCTTAGGGCTCCCCTTGGCCCATCTGATGCCTTCGGAGACAGTCTTGGGGGCCTCTAGGGGGTTTCCTGGAGTACCTCTTTGAGGCCGTCTTTGGGCGTCTTGGAAGCCTTTAGGCCGTCTCAGGGCTCTCCTGGCCCGTCTGACGCTTTCGGAGGCCGTCTTGGGGGCCTGTCTGGGCCGTTCCCGGGTACTCTTGATGCGGTTTCGGGCCATCATTGGGGACTCTTGGGCCGTCCTGGGGCTCTCTTGGGGCAGTCTTGGGGGGCCCTTGGGCTGTCTTGGAGGCCTCCGGAGCCGTCTTGGGCTGTCGGAAATCGCATCACGCGGGGGGCCTCTTGTGCAATTCTTGGGGCTCCCCTGTCCCGCCGGACGCCTTCGGAGGCAATCTTGGGCGCTTCTTTGGGTTGCCCAGGGGTTCTTTGGGTGCGCTGTCGGGCTGGCATGGAAGTAAATTAGGACGTCTTGGAGGCCGTCCTAAGGGCCTCTTCGGTTGCCTCGGGGGTCCCTTGGGCAGTTTTGGAGGCCTCTGGAGCCTCACTGGACTGTTGGAAGCCCGAAAAAAGCGGGACGCGGAAAACATTGGAAACTAAATAGGGAGGCAATGATGTTGGTTTTCATTGGTTTGGTGGAGGGCCTCTTGAACCCCCCTGGATTGCATCGGGTCTTTGGGCTCTCTTGGTCCGTCTGACGTTTTCGAAGGCCACCTTTGAGGAATTGATGAGTTGTCCTGGGGTTACAGTGGAGACCCATGCCAAGAAACACCCTGCTTGCCTCCAGGGTGCCCTGGGTTTCTTTGGTTTCGATGGTTTTGCGATGGAAAGCGCGACGCCCCCACACCAACAATCAATGGACGTCCTGGGGTCTCAGGGTTGGGTTTCTTGTGGAAGGTTTCTTGTGGACGGGCCTCCGCTGTACGTCGAGGCGGTTTCGGGCCGTCTTCCTCTTTGGGGCCTCTTGGGCCGTCTCGGTGCTTGCTCTCGGGGGTGGACAGAACTCCTACCCTGACACGTCGGTTAGTGAATTGTCCGTTTTCGGTTCTCGAGAGGGCGCCGCGGCCGTCATTTTCCAGGCTTGCGCCCGCCAGGTTTGGGCCAGAGGGCGTTTTCACTAAACCACGTTTTGCTAAAGGGAGGTCTGTCCATCCCCGACTCTCCGCTCGCATCGAGGACCTGTGGGACCGTCTTGGGTTGTCGGAAGCTTGGAAAGGCTAGAATTTGAAACACATTGAATGACATAGTCGTCGTTCTCTTAGTCATTGTTTTGCCGATCGGCGCTGGCCCTCGCACCCCCCCCCCTCCCCCCTCCTCGTGGAGTTAGATCTTGGCTGTTTTTGGCGCCTGTTTCACGCAGGTGGAGGCTCCTCCAGAGGACGCACTGCTGCAAACAGTCGCACTAAGCAGAGGTCCAGAGCCAGACACCCCACCCTCCCATCCTTTCCGCCCAATGTCGAAACTCCGAATCAAGAAAACGCTCTCCAGATCAATGGTTTGGGCTTCTTCGGGCTCACCTTGAGGGCCTCTTTGGAGCCCTCTGGGGTTGTATCGGAGGCCTCTCGGGCCGTCTTGGGGCAATCTGGAGCTGTCTTCGAGGCATCTTGGACCAGCTTGGATGCGTCGTGATGCCATCTTGGATCTTCTTAGTTGTCTTGGCGCCGCCTGGCGGCCAAACAGAGCGCCGAAAAACAACTCGCGCGCAGGGAGGCGATGGGATCGGCCCTAGAACACACTACAGTCGGCCTTGATTAGTAGGTCCACCTTGCCAGATCAAGGGTACCCGTGTGTCCCGTGCCTCGCGACGCATGCCTTTTCGCATCCTTGTGGCAATGTGGCCCTCGGAAGGGTCTTGTGTCCTCTCGCGTGTCTTCTCCAATCAAGTCCGAAAAACAACTCGCGCGCGGGGAGGCGATGGGATCGGCCCTAGAACACACTAGAGAGACCCAACGTGCCGAGGGCACGGTGGCGGATCGACTACATGAGCTTGCCCCAGCACGACAAGCAGAACCCGGAGCTGCAGCGGCTGGAGCGGGAGCAACGGATGCCAGAGCCCGGCCGGCACCCGGCAGTCCGTACGGTGGCAGAGGAGTCGACCACACGTAAGAGTGACCTTTCGCCGGAGTGACTTTTGGTGCGGGCTCATCGGGCTCCCCCCGACCGCCGAGCGCGATGCGATATAGGCGGCCCGCGCCCTTGGTTTTGGCTCCCTCGCGCCCCCACAAGCTGCGCACCAAAGGTCTCTCTTACCCAGGGTCACTCTTACGCCTAGTCGAAGGAGGCCCAGTTCAAGGAGGCGCTCTCGTCCATGGAGGAGATATACAGCGTTGGCAGGACACCGGTCATTGTGCTGCCGATGGAGGACCTCGTCGAGACTGGCAGGGAGTACATCTCCAGGGGCTGGTGCTTTCTTGAGTTCTGCCTGGCCATGAGTTTCGACAACATCGCGAATGCCGAGGTCCACGAGCCTGTAAGGCGCTTGATCGGTGATGTCAAGAATATGAAGGGCGACACAGTTCATGGCTTCCGGGAGGCATTCAAGACTACACATTTCACCAGCAAAGGCGATGCCGATGTCGTCCTCCGGTTGTTCGAGAATACGCTGAGCTTAGGGTCTACCCGATAAAGTCCCGCGTTCGGTTGCCACTGCATTTTTGATTGCGAGCCCATCGGTCGCCTTAGCCGGAACAGTGCAGAAAAAAACGTAACGGAGACGCAGCAATGTTTGGGCGTAGTGTAGCCCGCTCGACCGCTGTGTGGCTGCCGTCGGACCGGCGAGGCTTGAGCCTTGGCAAGCAGCTGGCACAGCTTTAGCTCGACGCGCGGCGTTTGGGTTCCGATTGGACGGCGCAGGCCAGGAAGGCGGCTAAGGCGATGGGCAGATTGAACTACGTCATCATTCATCACGCGGCTTGTCTCGATGAGTGCATTGTGTGTTTTGCCATGCTCTGCGAGCAGCGCGTGTGAGAAGCGGGCAGTGTGCTGGCATCCCTACAGGGACGGAGACTTCCCGCATGCCACTCGCCTCGCCGCGCCTCCCTCTTCGACATGGATAAGGGCAAACGCAGGAAAAGGCAGGAGAAATTCCCGCTGCAGGGCTTTCAGATACGATGGCTCAGGATGGACAACGAGATACGACCCGAATGGTAAGAGAGACTGGGAGACCATACGACAGCTGGCACAAAACGTTATGAAGGAGATTGGGATCAACATTAGTACATCAAGGACTCCGTAAACAAGCGCTGACAGAGAGGGACAGTCAGGCAGCTAACCTGGCTCCTATGGCGCGTCATCATTATCGGCATCATCAATATCATCATCACCATCCGAATAGTCATCTTCTTCATCACCATCATCATCAACATTAGCATCGTCCCAGCCGTTAAAGATCAGGCATTTGCTGGGCCAAGGGCCATCGCGGCGCACTTGCGCCGCTCGCGCTGCTTAGTGTGGCCGCTCCGGTGGTTACCCATTGGCCGCTCCGCTCCCCTTCTGCTCGCGAGGGTCTGTGCTGCCAGATTGACCCAGATTACTGGTCAACTCGTTCACGGTCGACGGTGCAGATTGCTCATCAAGTCTTATTGGGATGGGGTCCTGGTTCATTGCGTGCTCCCAGCGTTTGATGGCGATGTGGGTGTGATCCTTGAATGCCGATGTTTTTTGCGCAAGTGAGGTTGCACTCCCTCGAGGACGTATGCGTGGTCGATCATGGTGATCGGTCCTCCGACGGCGTCGTGAACATCACGCTCAGCATGAGGAGTTTTCCGAGAGGTGGCATTCCTGATGATATACTTCTTGAAGATGGTGTGAGCGATCTTCATGCTGGTGATACTCGTTCGTTCCACTGCTGGTGGGCTTCCTCCTGGTCGCCAGCCTGGTGCTGCAGTGGACGTACCCGCACTAGCTCATACTTTTCGGGAGAGTCTTGCTGCCCCTGGTCCTCCTGGTGGTGCTGATGCTCATGATGTTCCTGGTTCGCTCGATCGTGGGCCAACCGATTGCGGTCTTGGCCTGGCTCATGGTGTTCTTGGCGATGGGGATGCTCAGAGTCTTCCTGGTGCTCCTGGTCGACGGCCTGCCGATGGCGTGCCTGGTGATTCACCAGAACAAATTGAGCACCCAGAAAGCACCGAAGCTTGAGGGTTTCCACGTGTCGGGCTCTGGGACACACTCGTTCGACACTGTCTCGACGCTGTTTGGACACCGTTTCGACACTTTTCCAGGTGCTCGAAATTATTTCTAGCATATGGTCTTTAAGTACGATGGGAGAGGAACAAAAAGGCACAAGCCTAACTTGTTCGCATCGCGCCAGAATCACGTTGTCAGTGTGCGTGTGAAGTTCCGTGCCAACATGCATCACTTGTTGCGTGCTGCGTATCGGGGCAGCCAAGTCGTCATGGCATCTCGCGTAAGGCCCCTTCCTTTCCTCGAAGGAGAGAAAGCGCCACAAGTATTCACTTCTGGGATGTGGCCCGTAAGTGCGATGGGAGCTACATAAGCGCGGAGTTGCTGATGCGCTCGACCTTCGACCTGCCGAGAGGGCGTCCACGACCGCGCTCCTTCCTGGTGCTCCACGGTGGTGTGGCTTCTCCTGCCTTATCCCTGGCGCTCTCGACATAGATCCTCTTGGCCCCCCGAGGCTGCGCACGGGGAGACATGCTCGCGTCTCTGTCTCCTGGCGGTGGCGGGTGCTCGTGGAGATGTGCAGGGTGCTCTCGGCCGTCGGCCTGCCGGTGGCGCTCACGTGGTGACGCTCGTGGCGCGCAGGGCCGTGCGGCCGCTCGTGGAGGTGACGGGGTGCTTTCGATCGTCGGCCTGGCGACGGCGTTCACGGTGACTCCAGTGGTCTCCATGCTGGTCCGGGTGCTCACCGAGTTCCTGGTGCCCCTGATCGTCGGCCCGCCGGTGGAGCTCGTGCGCGTGCTCCTGGTGCACCTGCAGCGTCTCCGCCGCTCGGGAGAGCTCGCGGTGACGAGCGCGGTGATCGTGTGAACGCCGGCGATGGCTCGGAGCACCCGTCGGAGGCCCCTGCTCTTCCCTTGGCTTGCTGTGGCCAGCGCTTCCGCCGCTTCTCCCCATGCTGCTGCCGCTCCCGCCCCACCCGGTGTTGGACCTTCTTGTAGACCTGAGTAAAGAGGACCAGCGAATCTACATGATGCTGCACAGACCCTGCACGGCCTCCAATGTGTGATGGCGGCCTTCGATGCCCTCGCTCAGCTGTGCTGCCGGGCGGGATCGCGTCCTGCGCAGTTGTCTTGGCAAGGCTTCCCGCCTGCCTCAGCTCTCGTGGAAGTCTCTTCACCAGAACGCCGCGTATTCAGCCGCCTGCCTGCGCCCAGTCGGCCCTACAGATGCATACGAACTGCTCCAGACGCTCCAGCAGTTCTTGCAGCCGGCCAGCAACGCGACAGCTACAGCGGAAGGCGCTGAAGTTGTGTTCGTCGTTGCGTTTCCCGCCGTGTTGCCTCCTCTCGTCTTGCCTCGTCGTTCCGTCGCCTCCCCTCCCTCTTCTTTCCCGTCCCCTTGCGCTGTCGTTTCTGCGCTTTGGGGCTTTCGTTGATTCGCCCCTCGGCCCCGCCCTTCCTCTCCTCCTCTCCCCTCTGTCCACCTCCGTCGGCCGTCCCGGCGGAGGTGGGGCGTGTGCTCTCCGAGACCTTCTCTTGGGTCTCGGAGGGCGCCTGCTGCTGCCGGTGCCTGGTACGACGTAATGCGTTGCTGCAGTGCGGAAGTGGCGGAAGCGGACGTGGAGCAGGTGGGGGAAGCTGGACTTGTCTCCCCAAAAAGTCATCATTAGCACAATCATCATCATCACCATCACCATCACCATCACCATCACCATCATCATCATCATCATCATCATCATCATCATCAACATCATCATCAACATCATCCTCATCCTTACCCTTGTCATCATCATCATTCTCGTCATCACCATCATCATAAGTAGAATCATCATCCTCATCCTGATCATCATCATCGTCCACCTCCTGCGGGAGCGTACGCAGACCGTGGTGGGGGGTCCGACCGCAGTGGTCGCGGCCAAGAGCACGGTGTTCCAGTCACCCGGCTGCCCCCGGCGAGCCCCGCGGCAGTAGTGCATGCAGGATCGCTCTACAGAAGGCACCTCAAACAAGAAACCGGCTTGCCAGCCGACTGGCAGGTGCCCCACGGAAGGCTCTTATCCCACTGATGGCCTTGAGGGCCCATGCAATGTTTTGGGACACTTCGGGAGGCCCAGGGTTCGACGCCGAACACTACCCTAGAGCTTCTTGCAGAAGGAAGTGCAGGATCGCTTTGCCGCTTCCTCGTGGCAGGTTCGGTACGGCGGTCTCGCGCCGCTTCGACTCGGCGGCGACCCCGTGTTCCACCGTTCAAGGTTGAACGCCGACAGTGCATTGGAACCGGTACGGGCTATCAGAGAGCAGTGATTTTTCAAGGCTGAACGATCCACGCGGTGCCACAAACCAAAACGAAAGTCGTCGCAAGCCGGCCGCAGAACCATCCTGGGGCAGTTTCGGGAGCATCGCTACGATGTTTCAGAGTGGCGCGGCCGTAACGTGGCATGCGTTCTGGGGACTTTTTTGGAAGCTTCTTCGTGACCTCTCTTTGGGTGTCCTCTTGCGTCTTTCTGGGAGGGGCCTTCCGGGATCTTCTCGAGCGCTTGTTGGGGGCCGTCCTGAGTACAACTGTTTGACCGACATCTCCCGAAGCTCTCTTGGAGCTCTCTTTTGCCGCTTTGTGGCAGTTTGGGGGACCTCGTTTGGAGCCCACTTCAGGTCATCTTGGGATCATCTTTAGGCCCCAGGGACCCATCGTAAGCGAGAATACGAGAAAGCAAAACAAGCACACGGCACATTCTTTCATGATGTTGCCCAATCGCGGACGCCTTTGGTGGGGGGTCCGCGGCTACCTCGAACCGTCTCGGGTTGTCTTCGTGAAGGCATGCTGGAGACTGCACTGGACACACCTGGGCCGCATTGCGCCTCGGGCTATTTGGGGCCATCTGAAAGCATCCTAGGCCAAAACGGGTCCCCAATATAGGATGGTATCGGCTGACAGCGATGCCAAGAGTCGCCCAGACAGCGGGCGTTGCGTCGACGTTAACGGCGATTCGGACAAGTGGGAGAGGAGCAGTGTTCGGACGGCGCATGCAATCAACATATCGCCCAGCGACATCCGCTGATTGTTCCGAATAGAACGCTGCCCTGGTGGCTTGATGTGATTTCTATTTCTGGTTGAATGTCTGGCGATAAGTACAACAATGATACATGCGAGAGGCCAGAAGTTATCAACGTTGCAACGCAATTTGTTCTTGAATGTATATCGACCGTTCCAAATACGAGCCCGTTGGACAAAGACATCATTCATGAAGTACCGCCGGGATTATCCGAGCTTGTGGATAGAATTTGGAACCAACCATTTGATCGAATCCCCACTCATGGAAGATGGGGGCGACTTCTATTGGCTGCACGCGAAGTCATATTATTGTTCATGTCCGCGGGAATCAATGTTGCGTTTCTGGGGTATGACGTACAGCGAAATCCGCAATCCAGCCAAATCAGGCAATATGCTTATGCTTTGGATTGTCGGATCCGATCTGCAGTCGAGATATTTGACTCACTTCATAATTGGACCAACGGATTGGGATATGAAGTATCGGAGACCGCGCGACGGAATTGCTCAGGTATCTAAGAGGGTGCGGTTTTCATGCATACGGAATGTCAATCCAGCGTCAAGGTTTGTCTTGCCAACAGCCTCTTTGGAGTCGTCAGCGCTGGCAATGCCGTTGGGATTGCCAATTGCCTCTAGAAGAAAACGGAGGAGAGCGGCCCGGCCAACTCTCCGACCGAGACAATCCCAGCCGAGTCGCCAGCAGATGCCGCAACCCCAGTTGTCGAAGGCAATTGCCCGAGCGGCGCCGCCGCCCCGGGACAGCGAACTTCGCCAAGTATCGCGACCGAGGTACCGGGATGGAAGGCAGTCTTATCGGGCCGCCCCTTTTGCACCTGCGCCTGCCGGCCCAGCCGCGTCGGGCACGAATGCTGGCTGGATTGATTTTGACAGAATCCAGTCGTGGGCGGATGAATCCTGGACTGATGAGCCTATCCCTGAAAGACTGGCTGTAGAGCCGGTCGGCGGCCGCGCGAGCGATGGCGGCGGCCCCGGGCCGGCCATGGACGGCGTCTATGACGCGACCATCGACAATGATGACAACAATGAGAATGGAGAAATTCAAGGATACTATGTACATGTTTCCCGGCATCAGCGAGTCACCGGCCTTGGCGCAACGCGGCAGTGGTTTAGTTTGAACGAGTACAACGACAAGTTCCAGCGTGATTCTGGGACGCCAAGTACCTTGCCAAAGCCTCCACCGCCCCCACGCCGAAGGCGAGACCGCAGGAGAAGGGCCACGGCAAGAGTAAGCCAAGTGGCTGGAGTTCAAGCAGAAGGGAAGACATCTCCTCCAGGAATCAGAACCAGTGGCGCTGGAGTAACAGTGATCCCTGGGACGACTCTCGTAAATGGAGCGGTCGCTGGAGAAGGTGATGCAGCGCAATGCTGGCCCAGATTGCTTCGGGGAGCGGGTGCACCAGGTGTGCACGGGCATTGTGGCCTGAGCTGGAAATATTAGCTCAGGCGGGGAACGTCGGGTTTCTTCGGCCTTCCGCCCCCTGGCAACCAGCGCTGAGCGGTAAAATGCTTTTGGGGTTCGCTCTGGTGGCTGTGCATATGTACAGGCCCGGTGGGTCGGGGGGTCGGGGCGGCTCTACGGACCCCGCCGCGCGGGGAGTCAACGAACCCCTTCCGCACCACCAGTATTTCGCCCTGCCTGCTCTCTCTCCTTGCGCGCGCTGCCTGCCTGCTGTGCTGACTGACTACTTCTGCTTCCGCAGCTATACTACTTTGGCTCTAGGGAAACGGAAAAGGAGCGAGCCTGCGGCGCGCGCGCGTGCGTCGGCCGGCGGGCCGGCCTCCTACCTTCAGTGCTATTTTAGTGTATGTTTGACGGCATTATCCCTTCTTCCCCATGTTTTCTGCGGGGCCCACTGACCATGATATACTATCGGAGCACATTGCAGGGATTATGAATATCCAGGCCAAAGACACGGAGACGAGCACAGCAACAACAAGTTGACGCAGTTGTATTGTTGCGCACGGAGGCCGGAATGAAAGGACCAAGGCGCCACTGCGCGACGCGCCGATGCAGCCCTGCATCGTGAACATACACATCCTGCGCGACTGAACTCCTCCCTCCCGAGTGGCCCACACTATTCAAAATCCCTTATTAGTCGTCCCCCAGGTCCGGTTTTGGAAGGTGCCTTTCTGCAACTGGGGGCCCACGTCATTAGGGCGACTTCTTCGGGTTGGAATTTAGCGGGTCGGGTTTGTTAAGGCGCCCCGCCGAAAAGGGGGGCCCAGAACATCAGGGTGCATGTGGACGGGGGGTCCGGTTTTTCAGGGGGGTCGATTAGTAAGGGATCTTGTTTCACAGACGCACACACACAAACACACACGCACACCAAAAAGCCAGGGGCCCTTTTCGGACGGCTCACCCCTCCCGACCCGGGGTACTTTTCAGACGGCCTCCTCCCGGGCCCCCCCCTGGCCAGCCGCCCCGCCCTCTCCTGGACCCTGGAGGCCCTGCAGCAGCCTCTCGCAGCGACTTTCCCGCGATATGGACCAGAAGCCCGGCAGACGTCCCTTCGGCATCGCCGCTCGGACGTGTGCGTATTCCTTCTCGGCGAGGACCCTCGAGGAGTTTCCCGGGTCCTTTTGCGAGCGCAAAAAGCTCGCCCAACAGCGAAACACCTGCACGGGGAAGGGCCGGCCCAGCGATGGCGAGTCCCCGCCCCTCCCGCCTCCCGCCCCCTCCCGCCCGCCCGCCCCCCCTCCCCCTCCACTCCACGGGAGGTCCCCCCCCCCCTCTGGGGATCGGGCCGAACGAAAGGGGGGGATAGGGAAAAGGAGGGGTTACGAAATCTGCTGCATGCAGCTGGTTTCGGCCCCGCCGCCGGCCGTTCCTCGTTGCATGGGCGCCTCCTGGCGCCGGGAGGCGTTCGGACAATCAGCTACGTGAGCAGATTCTCTACCCCATCCTTTGCTATCCCCCTCCTTCGTTCCCCCGAGCCACCCTCCGGGCGACCCTGCACGACGCTGTTGCTGGAGGTGCCCCTGGCCCCCGTGCCCCAGCGGGCGTTTCTCGCTCCGTTCTGGGAGCCCCTGTAGGGGGCCTTGTGGGGGCCTCGCCATGGGTGCCCAGGATCGGCGGCGAACCCAGGGGGGGAAGTGAGAGGGGGAGGGGGGGAGGAGGAGGAGGAGGAGGAGGAGGAGGAGGGAGGAGGAGAGGAGGAGGAGGCGGAGGACGAGGACGAGGACGAGGACGAGGAGGAGGAGGAGGAGGAGGAGGAGGAGGACGAGGACG